GAGATGCTCTAACCGTTTATGAGAACTTTAAGAGAAGAACGCAAAAGAAAAGGCAAACACATTAGATGCTTTTGTCACAAAAAGCAGAACACTGAAAACACAGAGGCTAACTAAATATGAGACTGCGAATTTTATTTGTTTTTTTTAGAATATTCGTTTTTATTTATATTTTGTTTTTATTTTTGCAAGAATAATAATGTGGTATTAATTTGGGCTTAAGAATAAATGTTGGTTTTATTTTTAAAAAAACATACTTTTTAAATTTCATACCTAACCAATTTCCTAGCCATCTTCCCCTACCCCAATATTTAAATGTAAAGATAGCCTCGTTTAGCGCTGTTTCGCATTGCGCTCTACTTTGATGGAACGTATCCCCCGCGTTAAGCGGGGTCTTACTGTATAAATAATCACAATTTCGAAATTATCGTTTTTTTTTTACTGAAAAAATAATCTTTTAGTATGAGTTATAGAGATGTTAGTGCAGGGTCTTTACGCCCGAAAAAAAGAAAAGTCCAATATAAAAAGGCTCTTACGGATGATGAAATAGCAAATTTGTTGGCAGAGATATCGGATGAGTACCCAAGAGATTTTAGTTATGACAGTGACGAAGAATTCGTTCTTCCGACTAGTACCCATGATATTTCGGATTCTGAAGACGATGAAGAATGAATCATGCAAGAGGCTGCATGTCAGCAGGATGATTCAACTATGGCGGAAAACGTTATTTGGGAAAATGATTCAACATCAATGAAAAAATTTCCTTTTCAAAATCTGAGTGTTTGCTCCAACCTGTTTCAGGTAACAATCCTATAGATTTCTTTCATCATTTTTTCACTGATGGTATCTTAGGTATCCTGGAAGGAATAGTTGCTGAAACTAATTATTATGCTCATAGAGTACTTTTTCGCAAGGAAAAAAAGAAATATCCTCACATCAATGCTTGGAAGAGCACCACAAGAAAGGAACTCTTGGTATTTGTGGGATTGATCATACATATGGGAACTATACGAATCAACCGTATGCAAGATTACTGGAAAATAGATTCACTGTTTGAACTTGAATTCACTGTTTGAACTTTGAATTCACTGTTTGACGTGTACTTTCAGAAAATATGAGCAGGAATCTGTTTTTGTTGTTACTGAGGGCATTGCACTTCGCAAAAATCCCAGATCAGAATACACAGCTTCCAAAGGATTGACTGTATAAAGTAAGAGATATGGTGAATTTGTTCAATGCGTGAGTAGCTGAAATACATTACCCAAGGCGCGAGATTAGTTTAGATAAATCGATGGTATTGTGCTGTGGACGGCTTATATTCAGACAGTATATACCAAATAAATGTCACAAATATGGTATCAAGTTTCACACGATCACAACCGCTGATGGTATGGTTCTGAAATTTATGATATATACAGGCATGTTGGATGATTCTGGTAGAAAAGAACATGCAAAAAAAGTGATTATGAATTTACTCGAGGGAATGCTGGATGCAAGACATAGCATATTTATGGACAATTATTATAACAGCCATGAACTGTCGAAATTTCTTGCTGATAGAAGAACTCATTGCACTGGGACAATCAGAAAGAACAGAAAGACGTTTCCGAAAGAGGTAAACGAGAAAAAAACTGAAGAAAGGGCAAACTGTAGCAAAGTATGCTAATGGTGTGATGATTGCAGAGTGGCAGGATAAGAGAGACGTCACTTACATTTCCAATGAATATAAAAATGATATGGCAGAAATAACAAACAAATGAGGTGAAATTAAATCGAAACCTCTACCTGCAATTCAATATAATAAATTTCATGGCCGGTATTGATAAGCAGGATGAGATGCTTGCTTATTATCTTTGTGAGAGAAAAAGCAACTAGGTGGCCCTACGAAATATTTGTGCATAATTTTGAAAATAATGATGAACAATTCCCACTTTATCTGTAATAAGTATTTCCAACGAAAATACATCACTGTATGACTACCGTTTGTCCTGTGATACGAAGTTTACTGAAACAGCCATCTCTTCTTTGTGCTCCTGTGTGTGATCAGTCTGAATCTGAAGATGTGCTGAGTACATGAAAAAAAGAAGGAAAATTCTAAGAAAGCAATGCAAAAGTTGCTATTCTCAAGGGAAACGTAAAGATACAATATATGTTTGCAAATTGTGAAGGATCTCCCGGGTACTGCTTAGATTGTTCAAAGATAATACACAAATAACATTCTAGATTCATCTGTATAATGTCTTTGTAATTTTCTTGTTATAAATTCCTTTGTAATATGTATACTTGTCTGTAATACATATTGATATAAAAATAATGTGTACTGTCACTTATTTTTCTTATTTAAATTTATTTTTTACATTCCACGCGCCAGCACGTAATGTGGCATTTTGGGAAAATTTTGACATGTAGTGCCAATCATTAATATTAATCAATCAATTAAAATATTCTTTAATAAAAGGCTTAAATAATACTTAGGTATCACATAATTATCTTTATTAATATTTTTAAATCATATTTCTTATAATAAGTATGTTGGCATCTGGATACAATTTACTTCCATATGGGTGGCAATAACTATCAGTTATAACTCTAGTGACTGGCAGTCAAAGTGTTAAAGAATGTTGCCAATTTCACCTATTTATCAGAGATAAAAAATCGAAAGTGCGTTTCTTGGTCGATAGCAGTGCAGATCTTAGCATTTTACCTGCATCAGCACAAGACAAACAATCCACAGATTTCAAGTTGTATGCAGCGAATGGTACCGAAATCGAAACATATGGTATAAAAATGTTAACACTTGATTTAGGATTTAGGCATGAATTCCAACTTCTATTTATAGTAGTCAAAATTAATAAAGGAATTTTAGGAGCTGATTTCCTTAACAAATTTAAATTAATAATTAATTTACATGGAAAAAAACTAATTGATGGAGTAACTCAACTAAAGGTAACTGGTGAAGTTGCTTCCATCAGTGAAAATAGTGATATCGTTACAGTAACGCATTCAACAAAATTTAATACTTTTCTGAAACAATACCCAGACTTATGCAAACCAAATTTATTCTTATCAGGTTTAAAACATAATGTTCAACATCATATCATAACATATGGTCAATCTGTGCATTTTAAAGCAAGACAGTTAGATCCTCGAAAGCTTGCAGTAGCGAAGCAAGAGTTCCATTTTGTGTTGGACAGTAACATAATAAGACCCTCGAGTTTTCTCAATGGGCAAGGTCCTCTGCATGTGGTGCAAAAAAAAAGATGGTACTATTCGCCCGTGTGGAGATTATAGACAGCTAAACGATAGAACAGTTCCTGATAGATATCCTATTCCTAGGATAGAGGACTTCCATCATATTTTAAAAGGTATGAATATTTATTCCAAAATAGATTTATTTAATGCCTATTATCAACTGCCCATTGCCGAAGAAGACAGATGTAAAACTGCTATTATTACTCCTTTTGGATTATATGAATTTAATGCTACAAGTTTTGGTTTGAAGAATGCACCAGCAACATTTCAAAGATTTATAAATACAGTTCTTTATGGTCTAAATTGCTTTTCCATACTTAGACGACATTCTGATAGCATCTGCTAGTGAAGAACAACACAAAATCCATTTGAAGCTTGTGTTTGAGAGATTAAATGCCTATGGACTCCACATTAATGTTTCCAAATCCATCTTTGGCACAAGAAATAGAATTCTTGGGTTATTTAATTACTCCTCAAGCATCATGACCTTTACCTGAGAAAGTCCAAACTATTGTTAATTACAAGCTTCCAGCAACCATTCACGAACTCGGAACATTCTTAGGCCTTATTAATTTTTATCGGCGATATTTAAAAAATGCATTAAAAAACCAATTTCTCCTACACGACTGTCTTAAAGAAGCCCGAAAAAAGATAAACGGAAAATTCAGTGGACTGATGAAAGCTAAGGAACAATTTCAGCGATGCAAAGATGATTTAGTAAATACAACACTCTTATTCCCGAATAATGAACTACCTCTGTCATTATATACAGACGCTTCAGACTCGACGATTGGAGCGATACTTCAACAATTTGAAGATAATGGATGGAAACTTGTTGCATTTTATTCCAAAAAACTAAACGAAGCATAAAAGCATTACAGTACTTATGACAGAGAGTTACTAGGAATTTACCTCTCCATCAAATACTTCAAATTTTTGCTAGAAGGAAGAACATTTACAATATTCACAGACCCCAAACCCATAATCTTTGCATTTAAACAAAAGCCAGAAAAAGCATCACCTCGTCAACTTAGACATTTACAATACATCTCTCAATTTTCAACTGACATACAGCACATAGCAGGTCAAGACAACATCATTGCAGATTTATCGAGAATTGAAGAAATTTCTTTCATCGACTATGACAAAATTGCAGATGAACAAATTATAGATAAAGAACTGCGAAATTTGAAGACATCAGCAATTTCCCTGAATTTCAAGCAGTATCCGCTACCTTCTGTGAAGTCTTTGTGATGTGAAACTTTAACGAATAATATCAGACCATATATTCCTGACAGTTATCGCAAGAAAATATTTTATCAAATGCATAACGTAACCCATCCTGGCATTAAGTCATCTGTAAAACTCTTATCATCTAAATTTATTTGGCCAAGTCTCCGTAAAGATGTACAGCTTTGGGCTCGATCTTGTGATCTGGCTTGCCAAAGAAGTAAAATTAATCGACACACAAAATCATGTTTTGGTGAGTTTCAACTGCCTTCAGAAAGATTTTGTGACGTGCATGTTGACCTCATTGGAACCCTACCACCATCAAATGGGAATATTTACTGTATCACTTGCATTGACCAGTACTCTACTGGATGGAAGTAATTCCACTTAACAACATTTCAGCAGACACAGCTGCTAAAGCATTTTATTCTAATTGGATTTCAAGATTTGGGATGCCATGTCACCTAGTCACAGATCGTGGACTGCAGTTTAGTTCAGAATTGTTCAACAACCTATAAAAAATGTGTGGAATAAAATTGCAACATACAACGGCTTACCACCCCCAAGCAAATGGGAAGGCAGAACGCCTCCATAGATCTCTCAAGACCGCACTTATGGCACACAATAGCATGGCCTGGACTGAAACACTTCCAACTGTTTTTCTTGGCTTACGCACAGTTATGCAAGAAGACTCTGCATATACCATTGCTCAAATGGTTTATAGACAAAATATACGATTACCTGGAGAATTTTTTCCCAATAGTACAACTCCTATACCACTAGAACCCCCTTATGATGATCCTTTTCAAGTGGTTGACAGAAAAATAAAAAAATTTACAGTAAAAATTAATTACAAAGATGTTACAGTGTCTATTGATAGATTAAATCCTGCATATTTTTTGCAAACACCAGACATTACTACGAAGCAATCAACACCGTCAATAAGACAACCTGTCAATCCTCCAACAGACTTACCTCCTAAAATTAACAAGTTTCCTGCAAACCAGTTGCGTACCGGACGAACAATAAAACCCCCTGTGCGATTTCGGGATCTGTACATGTATCATTTATACATGTATCAATAATATATTTTTTTGTAAATAGTGTGTTTTAAAGGTAATATTATGCTCTACCATAACTTAGTTACTGGGAAGAGAGTACAGTTGTGGCTTATACAAAAACTTTAAATACTGATTAATATCATTTTATTTGTTTTTTGTTGTTTTCAGAACGGCAACAAAAAGATTATTCAATTTTTGTTGTTCTTGGAATGGCAACAAAAGATTATTAATGATATTGTTCTAAAGAGTTGTTTACATTTGCTAAAACAAAATAAAGATTATTTTTTATTTAAAACGTGAACTGATATTATTTGATGAAACAGAGTTGTAAAAATAAAGATTAGTTTGGAGTCAGAGCCAACAGGTCCAATAGAAACCCCAGTCACCCTTTAAAAAGGGGAAGTATATAAGGTATTTCTCTCGCCTTCTTCGCAAGCCTTTGGTGTGGTGGTCTGCACGTTGGGCACGTATTCCAAGGTCCGTGGTTCGATTTCCGTCGAAGGCGTTGCTAATTTTTCATCTTTCCTGCTTCCAAACTAATGTCTCTACAAACATTAAAGCATTATATACTGGTAATGAACACCTTTTCCCATCCATCATCAGCAAAATATTAAATACAACTGAAGGCTTCATGTTTCTTGTAATAATTTGTGCATACTGCAATCATTATTTCATATGCACTTCAACCAGCATACAAGATTTTCTTAATATTCAAATCTATAAATTTCAATTTTTTAACACTGCAATTACTTAATTTTAAGTAAAAACACAGTATTAAAACACATTCTGAAAAATTATTTTAGATATTCTATTACTATGCACTTTCAATGAAATAGGTTTTAGAAAAACCTACGTCAAAGCGCAAAATCTTCAAATGCAATGCAACATACAACTTACGTAAATATCAAAATTTTAAATGCACAGTTATCAAAAGTAAAGTTAGGGAAAATTCTTTTCTACTGTTAATGGTGTTTACAAATGATCCACCATATAAATTTTACAACACTTCAATCCCCAATATTAGTTTGATAATTGATTATATGTAAAAACACACAATTCAATAATTTATTTATCAGTATAAAACATTTACATTGTTGCAAAGAATTGTTTCGTAAATAAAACAATATTACACATATAACTGCAAATTTTTACATTCTTAATTCTGAAATTATACATGCAATTGTTTTGGTAAGTTTCAATTTGTAAAATGCTGTATTACCTGCTATTATAAACTTAAAAAAACAAGATATAGCACTTCAACTGTTAATGAGTCTGAAAACTTGTATAACAGTTAGATCCCACTTTCTGAATCAGACCACATTTTAAACTCTCCCTTACAATTTTTTTTTTTTGAAAAAAAAAAAAAAAAAATTATTATTAAATACAAGGAAATGAAACTAAACAAAATATGTAGGTTTTAAGTTGAATTTTTAATTTTTTTACAGGTGTAGAAACATTTAGTTTTAATATTAGTTTACTATACCTAGTTATCTCGAGCAAATGGGGGGAAAAAGTTAAATATTAGTCTTTGCATTATAGTTTTTGAAATAAGGGACAACACAAAGTGATACCTGACATTCTGTACACTGGTATCTGGTCTGTTTTCTTCCTGGTTTATATCTGGAATCTCTTTGACCTCTTCATAATCACTGTCTGAAAAATCATAGCTTTCGCTGTCTTGCATCATCGCCATTATTTTACTTTTTTTCAATGCAACTATCCTTCTTTATACATTACTAATCCACAAGCAGACATATACAATAAGGAAAACACATGACCAGTCCCGCTAAAACAACAAAACTTGGCAAATTGCCAATCAAAGCTGAATATTTCCTTTCATTTCCTCTTAAAACCATGATAAAACAAATCGTACTGACAAATGCTGCTTTGCCCGAGTTTTCTTGGGATAATAATTAATTGCAATATAACTTGGGATAATCAGGCAAGCAGTTATTATATACTAATGAGGTAGAGAGAATGACATTTATTTGATTTTCAAAATGCCACTACAAGAATGAGAGATGATATATTTTCTGAAAGTTATGAGCAATATTCTCCTAAACACTTTTATTTACATAAAATAACATACATTTAGATGAATGCTTTAGCTAACTAACTATAAATTAAAATATTATCTACCATAAGGGAAAAAAAAAAAGGTTCTCCTAAACACTTTTATTTACATAAAATAACATACATTTAGATAAATGCTTTAACTAACTATAAATTAAAATATTATCTACCATAAGGGAAAAAAAAAAAAGGTTAAAAAGGGACTATACAATATACTCAATTATATTGAAAAAATGTTGACTTTACATTTCTGGAACTGTTCTGTAATTCTTATGAAATCTTTTGCTAAACTCGCTACGAGATTGGTTCATATGAAATCATCAGCATTCTCTTTAAAAAAAAAAAAAAAGTCAAAGAGCATTTTTTCAAAATTGGCAACGAGAATACAAATTCTAAAGATATAACAGGCACTTGTGGTTTTTATTATATTTCCCACAGATAGGAAAATTTGGGACTTACTTAATGCTGAAATGTCTCCCATACACATTTCTTCTGGAACAAGGAATTATTCACTCTGAAAGAGAGTGCATGAAAATGTCTGTGGCCATCAGTTAAAATAGGCAGCATTGGTAATATTGTTGAAACTGATGAAAGTCTGTTTTTGCATTAAAAAAAACAATGTTGGTTGTATCCCTCTGTTCCAATGGTTACACAGCAGTATTTGCAAAGTAACAAAACAATGTTTAGTTGTTGTGGCCAAACCACTCTGCTAGAACTTTGCTTGAAGTTAATGAAGAAATTATTTTTGATGATACTATAATATGTTCAGTGTTGGAAAGGGAACAACACTGAAAAATAAACAGAGGCGGACCTGAATATTTCTGAATATTCCAGAAACAATTTTATCGATAACTATACTGATTGTCATATGCAAACCATTACAGAGCAGCGTGAAAAAAACTTCAACACAGCACTGACAGTAACCAATTAGTTTCTTAGTTAATGTGGCAGTTTTCAGACAAATGCAATATTTTTCCCTTGGATTTTCCTTCAACCTAACCACATTGTATACGTTTCAATTATGTCTAGACTTTGAATTTTTCACCAAATGGTAAGCTTTTGGTGATATCTGCATCAGGCCGCTATAACAGAACAGTACCACATTTCTTATACATATGCTCAAAATTAACTAAATTTAAGTAGATAAAAATAATTAATTAGAATTCAAACAACAAAATTCAACATAATTGAAACGTACACAATGTGGTTAGGTTGAAGGAAAATCCAAGGGAAAAATATTGCATTTGTCTGAAAACTGCCACATTAACTAAGAAACTAATTGGTTACTGTCAGTGCTGTGTTGAAGTTTTTTTCACGCTGCTCTGTAATGGTTTGCATAACATAATAATTAATTAGAATTCAAACAACAAAATTCAACATTATATTTTCAAATTTTCACAGGACTAGTTTCGATGGTTTTACCGAACCATCATCCTCAGCTGTCAAATCGCAGATGGACAAGATAAGATATTGTGATTAGATTAGATAAGATAAGAAAGCCTGAACAAGAGTTAAGCTACTGGCACCATCTACTGATGAAACAAGAACTAAAACATAATTTCTTTAAAGGCTGAAGGCAAAAATGGATTGGAATTCGGGTCGTTAACTAGAATAGAAAGATTTTCTATCAATTTTTTTTTATTCTCCTATTAGTAAAATTTCGAGTTCTATATGCAAGGACCCCATATCAGATATAAAGACCTGGGGTATTTACAGGATTCCTTGTCAGTGTGGTTTAATTTAAATTGGCCAAACTAAGACAGCCTTAAAATTTTGCATTAAGGAACATGAGGCATATGATAGAAAAGAGGAAACACAGAAGTCCACTGTTGCTGAGTATTGTTGGCCTGAAAATCACACTTTCAATTTTTCTGCAGCCAAAATTATTCAAAAAACATCTTCCATTGGTGAATTAGATTTTCTAGAGACATTTCACATTTAAAAAATTCTTTCTGTTCTAGTTAACGGCAGTAATTCCAATCCATCTTTGGCTTCAGCCTTTGAGGAATTTATGTTTTAGTTCTTGTTTCATTGACAGATGGCGTCAGTAGCTTAACTCTTCTCCAGCCTTTCTTATCTTATCTTACCTAATTAATATATCTTATCTCATTCATTTGTGCTTTAGCAGCTGAAGATGATGGTTCTGTAAAAGCATTGAAACTAATTCTGTAAAAATTTGCAAATATAATGCTGATTTTTTGTTGTTTGAATTCTAAATTAATACTTGTTTGGCATGTTATTTTATCTTAATTACATAAAAATACTTTAACTTCCAGGATTTGTTAAGTTGGTACTTATAATTGCATTATCTTGAGACAGTGTTGACAAGCAGTGAATTTGTCATCAGTTATAGATAAGTGTAATCAAGACAGTCACAATGTCTGCATTTTTGTCAGATACAAATTTAATCGATTCACAAGCCATACTTCATTTTTGTGAACAAGGATTGAAATTTATTGTGATTGCTGTATTCCTTTTATTTTAAAAAATTATTAATACAGTCAAAAGTCGTTAATTCGGACACCCATAATCCGAAATGATCTATAATCTGGACCTCAAATCTAAAAACTTTCTGCGCATGCGCCGCAATGACACAAGCGCATAGGCGTTTACGCGTGTGCGTAAGACCTTTTACCACTGCGCATATGCGTGTGCGCAAGCGCAGAATACGTTTTCGCGCGTGCATTTTATGTATAGCGGACGGTATAATCTAAAATTATCTAATTATCCATTTCAGTCAATGTTGATGATTGCGTTGTTCCTTAATCTTTGAATTTAATCCGGCTTATTATTTTTTGCAGACTGTAAGAGCAATTTTATAAAAGTAAACTTGAACTTTCGATTATGTCAAATAGAATTTCCGATTCTGGAGCTCCCAAAGGATCGTACAAAACAAAAGTATGTTTCGATGTTCATCAAACAAAAAGTGGAATTGCTGCAAAAAAATGGAT